CCAGATGTGGGAGTTTATTTGTTTTCAGCTTATTTGTCAAGAATTTATAAACATTTATGCACGTCTTTCATACCCCAAGCACAAAGAACTTGAGATTTTAAAAATGCAAGTGCAAGAGAAAGCCAAACTAATATATTATCCTATTCTTAATGACAACACCATGTATATCAGAATGAACAGACTTTGAGTCTACTTTGTTTTCAGTAATACCTGAAGTTCACCATCCAGAATCACAGAATGGTAACACTGGAGCAGGGTGATGTCCTAAAATAAAGGAACGTGGCAGCCTCTAGATATGCAATGTGACCACCATATCATCCTAAACATGAATGGGGGTTGAACCTGCTTATTACTTGGTAAGGAAGACACTAGGGAATACCAAGGGTCTCTCAAGAATCCTGTCTTGAAACCTTGCAGAGCTCTTGGCAGAGTTGATGACACTGGACCAAATGCACCTGTATAGACAGCCCAGAAATTTAAGTTTCACTCTATGGACCAAGTACACAACCTTGTCATTATCAATAACTAACTAACTAAATAAATAAAAACATTAAACAAATTCCTGGTCCTCTACACACTTGAACTTACTTCCACTCCAACAGCTTAATTTAGAAGGAGGGGGTGTCTTTTGTTGTTAAATAACAGAGAGCCAGAAATCCTTGCCAACTACTGCAAAGAACATTTACCAGAGATCTCAATCTACCTTCTGCCCACGTCATGTAAGTGCAAGTAAACAGTGAGTGATAAGTGGTTGTTGTGGAGTTAGTGCCAAATGTGGAAGCAAGCACCCTGATATTATAAGAAACAGAACAGATAATAACCTTTCCCAATTTCTTCTGTTCTTTTTGCCACCAGATGCTTATTTGTTCAATTATTTGTTCATTCGCTCTCTTTCTCAGTGCACTATTTGAGAATGGGAAAAATTCAAGTGTGTTTGGGATGGTGGGGGGGGGGGGGGAGAAAGGAAGCTTTGCCTGTTGTATGTCTACACATCACTCTTACATGTCCAACTTAGGAAAAGCTTCATCCCCATTTAGTTCCAATTATCCTGAGACCACCTGGAGCTCAGCTATCTTTTACAAAATTATATATTATGAATACTTTTCCACATGTCTATTTTTCTTGGAACGGTGAAATAGTAAACATCTAAATGCAACCATTCATAATGGCAATTTCAGTAGTCCTGAAGGCAGAAGAGCCAAAATGAAGATTTCCTAAAGCAGACAGTGGAGTTTATTCTGCATCCCTTCTATTTCTACCTGGAATAAATGGTCCTTCTTGTTGGCACGAGAGGCAGTTAAGTATTGCTAAAAAGGAGGCAATGTATCATCAGAAATTCACCAGACATTTGCATATGCTCATTTATATGTGTAGAAGACATATTCAGTACATTGTATGTATGTGCCTTAAAGGCTCCTTTCAATTTATGGAAACTCCGTGGATTTAATAGGGTTTTCTTAGTTATGACATACTCAGAGATGTTTTTATTCCAGTTCCTTCCTCTGAAATATAGCTGACAGTACCTTGTATTGCCAAGTAGTAAAGTTTATTGATTAGTCCACTGACCATATCAACAGTAAAAAAACAAAAACAAGAAAATACACAAATAGACACTAAACACTGTCCTAAAGGTCCTGTAATAGTTAACATACATTAAAACACAATTAAAAAATTGATTAAGTTAAAAGTTAGGGTTAGGGTTAGGATTTAATATCATCATTAAAGTGCCAAGGTAAAACTTCATACCACAGAAATTAAGGATGAAAGTAAAAACAAAGGTTAAAATAGACCAGCTATTACACAACCCCAATCCAGTTCAGAAATCTGTGTCACCCCTACAGTTTACCCCAATCGTCTCCGAATACGCAGTTCTCAGCTGTGTTACTTTATGTAGAAAAAGGGCTGTTTGGTGTGTTATCTTAACATTCTGGCCAGCCATTAAACATGGAGTTTTGATATAGGGATCCTAGTGAGTCTTCTGTGTAATGAATAGTGTGAGGTATTGTATTGATTAGTGATCCCCAAACAAGTATTAGCCAGTTAGTTTCCAAGATCAAATGGGCCATTGTAGGCCATACACATCAAGATATTTTAGTGGTTTTCACTGCTAGGAGCAGGTATTTTGTGAAGCTAATTGCTCTGAATATATTCCAAGCCACTCCCAATATATTTTGCTCATAATGATATATTGTACTACGGCCCATCCCTTGGTCCAAGCTATGGTGTGGGTTGCACACATCACAGGAAACAGATGCCTGAGAGTTGGGTGGCAATAGCAGATGACATTAGATTTGCTAATGACATAGCCCTAAAGCTTTGGCTATGCTCAGGCATTACTACCATAGTGTTCTATTCCTTTTTTGTGCTTAGCGAATATTTTATTTACCATGTTTGTAACATGCTCTTCAATTAAGAAAGTTGGAGTAGTGTGAATATGGCATTTTAGTCTATGGTCTAAGCAGGGAGCTGGGGGTACTTTGCCCTAAAATGGAAGGGGACTCTCTATCCTGCCTGCTTGGAGCAAGATATAGAGCATCAGATAACATTTATGCAGTGATATATGAGATCATCCAATGATAATCTTCACATTAACTCCAGAGGTGGACTGAGCTGATCAATAATCATGACAACCAAGGTTTATTCTATGTCAGTGGTTCTCAACCTTCCTAATGCCACGACCCCTTAATACAGTTCCTCATGTTGTGGTGACCCAACCATAAAATTATTTTCGTGGCTACTTCATAACTGTCATTTTGCTACTATTACAAATCTGATAAGCAGGATGTGTTTTCATTCACTGGACCAAAATTGGGCACAAATCCTTGATACACCCAAATTTGAATACTGGTGGGGTTGGGAGGGATTGATTTTGCAATTTGGGAGTTTTAGTTGCTGTCATTTATAGTTAACCTACTATCAAAGAGCATTTTGAACTCCACCAACGATGGAATTGAACCAATCTTGGCACACAGAACTCCCATGACTAACAAAAAATACTGGAAGGGTTTGGTGGGCATTGTCCTTGAGTTCTGGAGTTGTAGTTCACCTACATCAAGAGAGCACTGTGGACTCAAACAATGATGGATCTGGACCAAACTTGGCACAAATACGCAATATGCCCAAATGTGAACACTGGTGGAGTTTGGGGAAAATAGACCTTGACATTTGGGAGTTGTAGTTGCTGGGATGTATAGTTCACCTACAATCAAAGAGAGTTATGAACCCCACCAATGATAGAATTGGGTCAAATTTCCCAAACTGCATTCATTACACAGTGTAGTTGCAGCCTTAAGTCTCAACCCTTCTCATGGCTGGGTTGCTGTGAGTTTTCTGGGCTGTATGGCCATGTTCCAGAAGCATTCTCTCCCGACACTTTGCCTGCACCTATGGCAGGCATCCTCAGAGGTTGTGAGGGTCTGTTCCATAGAAGCAGGCGAAACATCAGGAAATAATGCTTCTGGAGCATGGCCATACAGCCCTGAAAACTCACAGCAAGCCAGTGAACCTGCCTTGAAAGCCTTCAACTTCTCATGGCTGTTCACTCCAAAGAGAGAGAATCAAATCAAGGTAACCTTGTCAAGTCAGACCTTTTATGTAAAATCTCACTGATAGAATTGGGTCAAACTTCCCACACAGAACCCCACAACCAACTGAAAATACTGTGTTTTCTGATGGTCTTTGACACCCCCTTACGCCCCCCCCCCCCAGGGGTCCCGACCTCCAGGTTAAGAAACACTAACAACTGAGAAACCTAATTGCCTTGCATGAATACTAGTGGATATTTACCACTGAGGAGAAGGTTGACTCAAGCAAATTTTAAACTCTTCTCAGGAAGATCATACTTTACAAAAGGTAACAATCTCTAACAAGGTCATGCCTTTCCAAAAGGTTATGATTATTCCACATAGTGTGAATGTCAATTAATATCCAAAAAGGGTCACTCTTCCAAAAGCCTGTGGAAGTGAAATCCTGGTTTTCCCAAAAGGTAATAATAATAACAATAATAATAATAATACTTTATTTATTCCCTGCCACCATCTCCCCAAGGGTACTCGGGGCGGTTTACATGAGGCCAAGCCCAACAAAAATACATCAGTAAAAACAACAAAGCAAACAAGCAACTAAAACAAAATGCAAATGCTATAAATAACATATAAGCTGTAACACAGACGAGATTTAAGAACACTGTGGGCAGGGCCAGATGTAGTCGATTAAAAATGTTTAAAACACTGGGCGCGAACAAAGTAGGGTATGTCTAAACAGGGGGACGGGTTAAAGGGTAATGTAGGGAGATCAATCCAACGGGTAGATAAAGTTCTTCAGAGGACGTATTGCAGAAAATTAGTCAGATCAGGGCATTGTTTCCTTTGTCAGACCCAACTGGACTTAATGTCAAGGGAAAATCTTTTACCTGCCCAAATTTGAATACTGGTGGGGTTGGGGGGATTGATTTTTTCATTTGGGAATTGTAGTTGCTAGGATTGCTAGTTCACCTACAATTCAGAGAACATTCTGATCCCCACCAACTGTGGAATTGAACCAAACTTGGCACATAGAACTCCCATAACCAAGAGAAAATACTGGAAGGGTTTGGTGGGCATTGACCTTGAGTTTTGGAGCTGTAGTTCATCTACATCCAGATAGCACTGTGGTCTCAAACAATGATGGATCTGGACCAAACTTGGCATGAATACTCAATATGCCAAAATATGAACACTGGTGGAGTTTAGGGAAAATAGACCTTGGCATTTGGGAGTTGTTGCTGGGATTTATAGCTCACCTACAATCAAAGAACATTCTGAACCCCACCAATGATAGAATTGGGCCAAACTTCCCACACAGAAAACCCATGACCAACAGAAAATTCTGTTTTCTGATGGTCTTTGGCGACCCCTCTGACACCCCCCTCACGACCCCCAGGTTGAGAAACACTGCCTTGGAGTGTGGCCAATGCGGGCCGTGTCTTTCCACATGGAGAGGAGGAAATGCCAGGCTTGGCGAGAGGGAGAGAAGGAAAGAAGGTGGGAAGGAGCCGGGGAGAGAGGGGCTGATTTTCCCTCCGTCTGCAGGGCTTTCGAAAGTGGCTCCGTCTCCTCTGGGCTTCATGCCCTGCCGTTTGGGGATTGGTCGGTGGGGTTTGGAAACGCCGCCTCCTCCTCCCCACATCCCAGCTTTATGCCCGAGGCAGGCAGAGGGACAAGGGGAATGAGTTTCGGCTCAGTCGGCTGCCCCATCGCGGAGACTTAGGGGACGAGGGCCCTCCAAGTCCCCTTTCTTCTCTGAGCGTTGCTCTTCCTCGGAGGGGAAAACCCACATGCCAACTTCGAAGACAAGCCAAGGAAGGCGGGGGATTTCCAGTCTCACGGAAAGGTAAAAGTCCCAAACTTGTTCATTTTCGAAAGCGGGTCAAAGTTTGACTGGACGAAATCCGATTAGAATCAGTGGGATTTTACATAAAGTCTGACTTGACAAAGTTGCCTTGATTTGATTCTCTCTCTTTGGAGCGAACAGTCGAAGGCTTTCATGGCCGGGGTCGCTGGCTTGCTGTGAGTTTTCCGGGCTGTATGGCCATGTTCCAGAAGCATTCTCTCCTGACGCTTCGCCTGCATCTATGACAGTCATCTCTGACGACCTCACAAGCTCTGAGGATACCTGCCATAGATGCAGGCGCAGTGTCTGGAGAGAATACTTCTGGAATATGGCCATACAACCCGGAAAACTCACAGCAACCCAGCCATGAGAAGGATTGAGACTTAAGGCTGCAATTCTGGGCAACACAATTGAAGAGAGGTATTGACAAGCTGGAATGTGTCCAGAGGAGGGCGACTAAAATGATCAAGGGTCTGGAGAACAAACCCTATGAGGAGCGGCTTAAAGAGCTGGGCATGTTTAGCCTGCAGAAGAAAAGGCTAAGAGGAGACATGATCAGGGCCATGTATAAATATGTTAGAAGAAGTCATAGGGAGGAGGGAGCAAACTTGTTTTCTGCTGCACTGGAGACTAGGATGCAGAATAATGGCTTCAAACTACAGTGTAAGAAAGGAGATTCAATCTGAACATTAGGAAGAACTTCCTAACTATGAGAGCTGTTCAGCAGCGGAACTCTCTGTCCTGGAGTGTGGTGGAGGCTTCTTCTTTGGAGGCTTTTAAACAGAGGCTGGATGGCCATCTGTTGGGGGTGCTTTGAATGCAATTTTCCTGCTTCTTGGCAGGGGGTTGGACTGGATGGCCCATGAGGTCTCTTCCAACTCTATGATTCTATGAACTGCACTGTTTAATGAATGCAGTTTGGGAAGTTTGACCCAATTCTGTCGTTAGTGGGGTTTCAGAATGCTCTTTGGTTGTAAGAGAACTATAAATCTCAGCAACTACAACTCCCAAACGTCAAGTCTATTTCTCCCAAACTCCACTAGTGTTCACATTTGGGCATATTGAGTATTTGTGTCAAGTTTGCAGTTGCTCTATGTGATCTGTAACTTGGTGAAGTACCAACACTTTAGCAGAGAAGGCTAGAGACCTTGCAAAACTATAACTCCCATGCTTCCATCACAATGAGCTGTGGCAGTTAAAAGTAGAGTCAGACTACATTCATTTAACAGTGTAGATCTGCATCCTTGTTCAGCTGGTGGTGGAGAATAGGCAGGGAAAGTGCTGGCGGGAACGTTGAAGGTCACGAAAGAAGGCCATAAAGAATTAATAATAATAATTAGCATTATGGAACGGAAATGACGTCATTGAAAAGAGAGAGGTGAAGTTATAAATGGAAGAAGGCATGGAAATAATAACAAGGTGAAGTGGCAAAAAAGAACTGGCATTTCTGGATTTGGAAGAGAGTGTGTTAGCATTGAAATGAAAAGAGGAAAAGGCATGGGGAAGCCTCATCAATGGAGCTGTGGAAAGTTTGAAGGCTGGAAGGGATGAGAGAAGGGGAAAGAAGAGGTGGCAGGGAAGAGAAGGGAGAAGAAGGCACAAAAAAGGAAGGCTGAGCATCAAGTTGGTTGGGATCTCTTGTGATTTCAAGAGCCAGGACAGCTTGGGACAGTGTTTCTCAATCTGGGAGTTGGGACCTCGGTGGTGGTGGTGGTGGGGGGGGGGGGGGGTTATGAGGGTGTGTCAGAGGGGTCGCCAAAGATCACCAGAAACACACAGTATTTTCTGTTGGTTATGGGGGTTCTGTGTGGGAAATCTGGCCCAATTCTATCGTTGGTGGGGTTCGGAATGCTCTTTGATTGTAGATGAACTATAAATCCCAGCAACTACAACTCCAAGTCTATTTTCTCCAAACTTCACCACTGTTCACATTTGGACATACTGAGTACTTGTGCCAAGTTTGGTCCTGATCTATCATTGTTTGAGTCCACAGTGCTCTATGAATATAGGTGAACTACAACTCCAAAACTCAAGGTCAATGCCCACCAAAACCATTCCAGCATTTTCTGTTGGTCATGGGAGTTCTGTCTGCCAAGTTTGGTTCAATTCCATTGGTGGAGTTCAGAATGCTCTTTGATTGTAGGTGAACTATAAATCCCAGCAACTACAACTCCCAAATGACAAAATCAATCGCCCCAACCCACCAGTATTCAAATTTGAGCATATTGTGTATTTCTGTCAAATGTGGTCCAGTGAATTAAAATACATTCTGCATATCAGATATTTGCATTACAGTTCGTAACAGTAGCAAAATTACAGTTATGAAGGAGCAAAGAAAATAATTTTATGGTTGGTGGTCACTACAACATGAGGAACGGTATTAAAGGTCATGGAATTAGGAAAGTTGAGAAACACTGGCTTAGAGCTTCCCCCCTATTTATAGGAGATGATTAGGAAAGGACGTCTTGTAATATGGAAGGAAAGGGAAAATATTCATACTTCAGATGGAGGGAAGAACGCCCAATTTGCTGCATGCATCTATATCAGGCATGGGCATGGGCCAACTTGAGCCCTCCAGGTGTTTTAAGAGGCTGAGAGGGAAAAGAAAGGAGCCTGAGCCTGTTAAGAATTGTGGGAGTTGAAGTCCAAAACATCGGGAGGTTGCCCATGCCTAGCTTAGAGAGTGTATTCCTGCATGGCAAAAGAGGGGTTGGACTGGAGGCCCCATGTGGTCTCTTCCAGCTCTACAATTCCATGTCTAATTTCCAGAAGGCAGAGTGTTAACTATTAGCTTGCTAGTTAAAATGGGGAAGGACTCTCTACACTGAATCTTCCAGATTTCTACTCAGAACTGTAACTCAACTTGGTTAAATTCTGTTTGCAGAAACTATACGTCCCTGAGTTACCTCTTTCTGCTTTTTAGTGTCCTATGCTCAGGACTGTAACGAGGGGGGGGGGGGGTTAAGGGTTCAACACCCCCCCCCTTGAAATTTTTCAGGTTAAAAAAAATAAACCTGGTTTACTCATGAATTTTAACTGGTTAACCAAATCCCCATGCTAAGTCTATGAGACGCAAAAAATTAAGAGTCCCTCCAGAACTGCAAGCACTATCTCAAGCAAATATTGACAATTTATTCACACTGTCATTACTTGCAGCAATAGCCGATGTAGCAAAGCAACCAAGTTGGGGGGGGGGTGTTGAATGCTCTCATTAAGGAGGCCAGACTTGGTGGAGGTGGTTGACAGGGGCGGAGCTGCAGGCTATTGAAGGCTGCTCTGCCCCCTGCTGTGCTCTTTGCTTCAGCGTGAGCTAGGAGGCAGGTTTGAACCCCCCCCCCCCAATTTCAAACCCCCCCCCCCCCCCCCCCCCGAAATTTTCAACCCTCCTCAAAAAAATTTTCTGGCTATGGCCCTGCCTGTGCTGTTATAGCCACATCTGCCCAAGGAGACTTTTTGATCTTTTCCTTCTGTTTCTTGTCACAGCTTTTTTCAAAGACAGTAAGACGTTTCTCTGTTCAGCAGTCTTTATTGAATATCTGGTCAAAATAAAAGCAATCTGGAACGTTTAATAGAAGTAGTTCTGGACAGGATCATCATAAACCACAGGGATGGGATACCACAAGCTAAGACCGGCTCTACACCGTCCTATATCTCATGATCTGATCCCAGATTATCTGCTTATCCCAAATAATAGTAGTAGTAGTAAGAATAATAAAAAATCTTTATTTATATCTCGCTTTTCTCCATCGCGAGACCCAAAGTGGATTATAACATATTAGAATAATGTAAACAACACTCCATATGCATTGATAATAAGTATACAACATCATAAAACGAGCAGTTTTAAACAATAATAATATACATTCACATTCTTGTGACATCATATCAGATTATATTGCATTATCTGGCAGTGTAGACTCATATAATCCAGTTGAAAGCAGATAATCTGGAATCAGACCCTGGGATATAGTAAAGGTAAAGGTTTCCCCTGACATTGTCTAGTTGTGTCCAACTCTGGGGGATAGTGCTCATCTCTATTTCTAAGCTGAAGAGCTGGCATTTTCTGTAGACACCTCCTAGGTCATGTGGCCAGCATGACTGCATGGAGCGCCGTTACCTTCCCACAGAAGCGCTACCTATTGATCAACTCACATTTGCATGTTTTTGAATTGCTAGGTTGGCAGAAGCTGGGGCTAACAGTGGGAGCTCACTTTGCTCCACAGATTTGAACCGCTGACCTTTCGGTCAGGAAGTTCAGCAGTTTAACCCACTGCACCACCAGAGAGCCCCTTTCTGGGATATAGGAGACTATTCCTCCGCAGATGGTTCCAATGAGAATTGGAGTGCAAATATACAGTATTTGAGAGGAATTAGCTTGGGGAGATCTAGTCTAGGTAGGTAGTCACTGTGACAAAAGTGAGATAAGACAATGGGTACAATTCTGCACACATGTATTAGGAGTAGGCACAATTGAATCCAGTAGGCCTGAGTAAACATGCTTAGGATTCCAGTGCCATGTGGCAAATGAATAGAAAAAAGGGCAAGAAGCAGGATCAGAATAAACACCATTGTTCATTCCATGACCAGACAGTCTCACAACAGCATTTCTTAAACAAAGGAATCAATGGACTTGGACTATTAATTCAAGTGAGTAGGAAGGCTTTTGTAGCTGTTGTTTCTAGGCATTTTAGTAGAGTCTTAGGCTCAGCAGTAGTGGCCTAAGTTAGTTGGCAAAGGGATGATAGAAAGAGGGAACAGAGCCAAAGATAGTAGATAAGGAGCCTTATGAAGGTTGTAGGCGCTGTGTGGCTTCGTGAGAAGCCTAAGGCCTTCCTACTATGAAGTCAGGAAAGTGCTTGCTGTTGACAATAAGGGTTGCAAATATTAGAGATATTAACAATGCCAATCTTTGGTTTTTTTATTTTGTTATTATTTTGTTTACCATATTTATATTCTCCCTGAGAGGACTCAATTTAAAACAAAGTGAATACAAAACTTAA